ACAACACAATAATCCGAGTTTCGATACCCGTGGTGGACAGAGCACAGATAGCCCATTGTGTAGCTTTGTGCATAAATTCTAACAAACAAACAAACTTTTGCCCCTAGTAACACGCGGTATGTCTGCAGACTTACAACACAATAATCCGAGTTTCGATACCTGTGGTGGACAGAGCACAAATAGCCCATTGTGTAGCTTTGTGCTTAACTTAAAAAAAAACAACAACATCGTTTACTTTTTAATGTGATTCATTAAGGATCCTGTAACCAACAAAGTTATGGACTCCCAAGAGATTTGGTGATAATTAACTTAGAAAAAATATTTTAAAAGCCAGTGGTGGTCATGTGGGTCCGTTTGGCAATTCTAGGGTTACCTGACATGAAGCTGTAAGCGCGCGTCTAAAGATCTCGAATAACATATTATAAATCGCAGTTGAAAAGTTCTTTCAGTTTGTGAGGTCTATTGTAGTTTTAGCCGTGGCATAGCGGCTCATAGAATGGCTCGGAGTTTTTCAAGTACAAACATTTAGCTCATAACTCCGTTAACTCTTGGCGGATTTTAGATCTAATTACAGTTTTGGACTCAGGAAGTTAAATCTTTTCGATTGATATATTTGACCACGCTGAGGGTCTCATAGAATAATTTACTCAAATTCTGTCAAAACGAATTTCAATTTGAGGGAAGGCTGGTAGAGTTCCTGATGAGTAATAAAATTGATACCACGATTGGTATTGCTGGCGCACAAAAATATAGCTGATAAAAAGGGAAAAAAATTTCTCATAGATTAATTTACTCTAATCCTGCCTAAAAGAATTTCAAGTGCTGCGGTTATTGAGGATACCCTCTTGTTTATTATTATTATAATACTTTTATTATAAAGATGATTTTGCATTGATAGCTTAGTGTATGTATTTAGGACTAAGTTAAATCTCCTAATCTGATAACCTAGTATATGTATTTAGGACTAACTTAAACCTTCTAATCTGATAACCTAGTATATGTATTTAGGACTAAGTTAAATCTCCTAATCTGATAACCTAGTATATGTATTTAGGACTAACTTAAACCTTCTAATCTGATAACCTAGTATATGTATTTAGGACTAACTTAAACCTCCTAAGCTGATAACCTAATATTTGTATTTAGGACTACTTAAATCTCCTAAGCTGGCCGAACCTCGTAAGATATTGAGGATTCCCTGTTGTTCCTTATGTATATGGGAATAAGTAAAGTAGGTAAGGATATGAAATTGTACTGTACAGAAATAATTTTGTACAAAAATAATCAGTTTCAGCCCCACCATTATAAACAATGAGAGACCTAGAGGTTTAAATATCTATATGTTTGTAGAGTATCTTTACATAATCATATAAATACTGTATAAAGGACGTGCATGTACAAAAATATTCTAGCCTTGTATACTTGTCATAAAAGAAGACAAGTCAGTAGGTCAATAAGGAAGGAATGAATCAAATCTAACACAATTAATAACCTGATATTTACCTAGCCGCGTTTCTTTCAGTTTACTCAATATCTTTTACGGAAAGTTGAAACAGTGGTACAGTATATGTTTGTGAAGAATAAACATTCCAAATGAAGTTTGGCTCTGAGACACTCTACAGTTCCAAATTTTAAAGTATGTATTCTAATATCTGATTCTAATTTCGTAGATGTGTCTAGGAATGGTTCTTCATAAGAATGAGCTTTCAACGAAGTTTACTATTTTTAGAATTAGACAGACATAAATATCTCACGAAATAAGTAATATTATCAGAGTTATAGAAAGTCCTCTTTGCGAAACTGAAAAATTGAGCTTCACGAGCTAGAGATACTGAGAGGCACATATAGTTTCAAATATTTCCATTCTGGAAACCCCAACTTCAAACATTTCCCATCTGGAAACCCTTAAACATGATGAAAAAAATTCTAACATGTTAATTTCAAAATGCACTCTCGATGTTAAACTTCACAAAATTTTCTACCAAACATCGTTTGACACGACCATATCATTACATCTTACATTATTAACCTAATCCACCAAGCTCTGTTTGACATATTTGTAACACCACATCCATAAGATTACATTTTACGTTATTAAACTAATTGTAATTAATAATGAAGATTTTTTTCGAAAATGGAAATTCATCGTCTATGTGAAATATTATCATCGATACCAAATTTACTTCGTGAACCGAGAAACTAGTATTTGGGAATCATTCTTAACTTTCGAGTGACCATAGAAAACATGTAATACTGACGTTCTTAGCTTTTGAGTGGCCATAGAAAGCATATAATACTGACGTTCTTAGCTTTTGAGTGGCCATAGAAAACATGTAATACTGACGTTCTTAGCTTTTCAGTGGCCATAGAAAACATGTAATACTGACGTTCTTAGCTTTTCAGTGGCCATAGAAAACATGTAATACTGACGTTCTTAGCTTTTCAGTGGCCATAGAAAACATGTAATACTGACGTTGAAAGAAATAACGTATTTTATTTTCAAGCAGTTCATATTTTTATAAACCACAGTTTTTTATAAGAATGTATGCTGTTGATGGAAAAAGTTAAATAACTAAGGTGTTGTGAGTTTTATACTAAATCTAGTAAACTGTTACCAAGGATATTAAATAGAATGATGTAACCAGATATCTACTAAATACTAAGGATTGTTGTACTTGTGATAAGAGTTTGGAAAAAAGAGTTATTGTGCAAGTTGTAATGAACAAACGCAATTAAGAAGTAAATGACGAAAGTCGTGTACCAAATCAATTATACAATCGTCCTTAAAAAACATTTCGTAGAACTACGGGAAGGTCTACAAAATCGTCCTTAAAAAACATTTCGTAGAACTACGGGAAGGTCTACAAAATCGTCCTTAAAAAACATTTCGTAGAACTACGGGAAGGTCTACAAAATCGTCCTTAAAAAACATTTCGTAGAACTACGGGAAGGTCTACAAAATCGTCCTTAAAAAACATTTCGTAGAACTACGGGAAAGTCTACAAAATCGTCCTTAAAAAACATTTCGTAGAACTACGGGAAGGTCTACAAAATCGTCCTTAAAAAACATTTCGTAGAACTACGGGAAGGTCTACAAAATCGTCCTTAAAAAACATTTCGTAGAACTACGGGAAGGTCTACAAAATCGTCCTTAAAAAACATTTCATAAAACTACGGGAAGGTATACAAATAAATATTCATATATGAAATGTACTATAATGGAATCTAATCAATGGTGCACATACGATGTTGAACTGAGATTGCTGGGATAATGGAATCTGATCAATGGTGCACATACAGTGTTGAACTGAGATTGCTGGGATAATGGAATCTGATCAATGGTGCACATACAGTGTTGAACTGAGATTGCTGGGATAATGGAATCTGATCAATGGTGCACATACGATGTTGAACTGAGATTGCTGGGTACATAAGGAATCTTGTAAATTTAACATTTTGGGGAGTGAAAGGTACTGTTCATACTGTGTTAAACTAACACCACATAATACTTACAGAAGTTGTTCATACTGTTAACAAATCAGTCTAGAAGCTAATCAATGTTGAAGATACTGTGTTAAATTAACATCACACCGAGCTGACAGATGTTCTTCCTACTGTTAACAAATCAGTCTAGAAGCAAATCAATGTTCAAGATACTGTGTTAAATTAACATCACACCGAGCTGACAGATGTTCTTCCTACTGTTAACAAATCAGTCTAGAAGCTAATCAATGTTGAAGATACTGTGTTAAAGTAAAATCACACCGGACTGACAGATGTTCTTCTTACTGTTAACAAACCGGCCTAAATAATAACACCTGAGGCTTTGGTTGAGTCAATAGTAAAGGAGAGTTTGTCCTGCAAGAGGATTTCAGTGTTAGCAAAAGGATCCTAATCCTAATGAGGTTTTACATCTTTGGTTGAGTCAATAGTAAAGGAAAGTTTGTCATGCTACAAGGCGTCAGTTAGCAACAGAATCCTAACTCCAATAAATTTCTGTTTTCCAACTTTGGTAGCTTCGGACCGGTTAAAAACTATAGTTATTTTTATTTTTTGAGGTTAACAGTTAAGGAAAATATGTATTCTACATTTCAGGCAGAGTAATTAAAATGAAAAATGTTTTCGTTAAAACATACTAGCTTTTTTTTTTTGTTTTAGGGCGCATTAAAAGTTTATGAGAATATGAGTCAATGTACGGTTCAAGTTGAGACACCAATTTAGGGGAACAGGGATTATTAAATGCTTTAAGATAACTCAAAAATGGAGAGTAATATAGGTCATTGTACACTTGAATTTGAGCCGAAAGTTAAGAATAAAATATTTTTCTTAAGTTTAGGTTGATCACCATCCCGAGGGTTAGGAAAATATAGTTTTCTAAACCTCTTTGGTGGCATCTAAAATAATGGAGAATATGGGTTGACGTATATCTCGGGTTGAGCCAACGATACTGGAGGCTGCTGGCTGAGTCGAATTCTTATTGTCGTCGACTGGAGCATCTGGTAGAGATCCAACAATGCTGAATACCGAAGAGTTTCGTGAAATTTGTTCTAAATCTGAGCGGTGACAGTTAAACAGATCTGTTAAATCCTCTTCTACATCATGGTTGAAATAGGCCGGATGTTGGCTTGCACTCGGGGTGTTCTCCATCAGGATTTGGTAAATATCGGAAAACTTAAGTCGGTCACGTGGTTCTGTTTTCCAACACCCTGCCATAATATTATAGATGAAGTAAGGACATTTTCCGGGAGGACTTAGAAGTATTCCCTGTAAAATCAACTTTACAACCTGGTAGGAGCAGAAAAACAAAACATTAACTTACTAATATAATTTATTAAAAGCAGATTCTAGCGTAAAATTCGTCTGCAACTTGTTCACAAGTTGTATCTTCTTTCACTTTTTATTTGAATGATATGGAAATACAATAAAATCATTTTTATTTAAGCTTTTTGGTTTTTTAAATCGTATTTTTTCAATTTTCAAGTTGTTGTTTTTGTTTAGTGTAAAGCTACACAATGGGCTTTATACAGTGTGTCCACCGCAGAGAATCGAACCCCAGATTTTAACTTTCAGTAAGTTGTACAGTAGTGGGCGTTGCTTCGAAAAGCTCTTGCATTCAGTTTGATTTAACAAAAACCTTATGATAATCTATTATTAATCCTTATCCCAACCATGATTTGTAATTGACTTAACTAAAATGGGTAATAATTACATTTCATTTGCTTAATCTAGTTCACACATTAATAGTTTTTGTTCATTCAACTGTTGATATAATTATCACCTAGATCACTGCTATATTTTTTCGTATCCCAGCAAGCCTGAGGAGCCCTGGTATTGGGCGGAAGGTCTCGTTGGCATTGGATATACCAGATATAGTTAGTTGACTCATTAGATAGTGCATATTAACGTACTTTTTTCCCCTTTCACTCTTAAGTAAGTAAATTAACAATTAATTTACTTGTTTTGATTAACGACGATAAATCTAATTAAAACATCGTCTAGGTTTCATAACATCAGTCGTAACCTGAAAAGTATAATAGGTTTCAATCGCATGTTTTCTAGTACCTAACAGTTACACTAGATGTCCAACTTAGTGTTCATTATTTTATCGTGTGTGTGTGTTTTCTAATAGCAAAGCCACATCAGGCTATCTGCTGTGTCCACCGAGGGGAATCGAACCCCCGATTTTAGCATTGTAAATCCAAAGACTTGCCGCTGTCCCACCAGAGGACTCATTATTTTAGTATCGGACATTTTTTTCTCGTAAGATTTTTTTTATGTCACTCCAGTTAATTTCTCAATAAAAGTAAATAACTTTTTATTTCTTTGAGATAACTGGTCTTGAATATTTTTAAACGACGTTTTGTTTGTTATTACCACGTTATACGGTATAATGAAATTGAGATTGGAACGGTTATACATACAGACCTCTTCGTTGGAGTGTCCATAATACGGCTGCTTGCCGAAAGTGAATATTTCCCACAGAACGACTCCATAGGACCAAACATCAGAGTCTAAGGTAAACTTTCCATACATCATACTTTCTGGCGCCATCCAGCGCACGGGCAGCATCCGGGACCCGCCGATCTGAAACGAAAATGTTATCCCACATATAGCACACAAAAAAACAAACAAATGTGGCAATATGTCGCTATAAGGGGGTTTAAGCTCTTCAGCTGAGTGAATTACTGAACTTAGTTTCATCTGAAGTAACGTGTAAGAGAGAAGAAACGTTTACAATGCAACAAAGTAGAGTTGGGTTCTAGCGAATATTGACAGTCTGTCTGATAACTAAGTTAAGCTATCAATAATCAAAAGCGTTGTTTGTTTTGTTAGCGTAAAGTTATACAATGGGATATCTGCGCGGAGTCGAACTCCGGATGTTAGCGTTATAAATCCGTAAGCTTACCACTGACCCACGGAAGGACAGAGGTGGAGAAAAAATTAATAATTAAAATGCATATTGCCAGTGTTTTCTTTAATCTTAGTTAAATTGTTTTCTCGAACTTGTAGCTTATTAATATCAAAGAACTCGTTCAAATGTTGTAAAAGTTATAAAACTAAGATGTCCCCAATAGCTTTAAACTTCAAAAGAACGTGGGACAGTTTTTGAGGTACTAATTTTATTGCTTACTGTATGTTGTTTGTTATTACAAAAGATGTCATTCAAAAATGACTGTGGGTCGTGGGTTCGAATCCCGGTCACACCAAACATGCTCGCCCTTTCAGCCGTGGGGGCGTTATAATGTAAC